ACGTGCATCAGATAATTGTTTAAGAAAGAATGCATGTTGTTCAACACCAGGTACACTAAATGTATTCGATTTCGCTCCATGACAACAAATCAGATAATCAAAATCAAGTGTAAATTCTTTATTTGTATTAAAAAAATCTCGACAATGTATTTGATTTGTTTTTGAATTTATTTCATCACAATGTGCTTGATAATAATGTAAATTTGAAAGTGTACGAACAGGTTCAATAATACAACGAAATTCTAATGTACCAACAGTTGTCGATGGTAAAAGTGGAGTAAAAAGGAAATGATTACGTGGTGAAACCTAAAAGATAAATACAACATCTTTACACGGGATTAATCAACCTTTTATGTTTCTTTTTCTTTTTGATATAAAAAGAAAGGAAGAATAAAATTTCCGAGTGAAATCATTCATGAAGAAAACATTTGTTCATTAGTGTGAGAATTTTTTTTTTCTTCAAGTCGAATAAAAAAAAAGACCTTGCCTTAAACTATATTATCTAACATAAAATATTTTTTTTCCTAGATCTTCTTTTAAACTATTCTATTTATAAATACTTACCAATGTAACATCGTATTTTTTTCGATTTAAATATCGAACAAATTGAAATCCACCCCTAGTGAATTCATAAGGAATTTTTATAATTATAATCAAGAAGAAGACTTACCATCCAGCACCTAGTACAATAACTTTCTTTTTTCCATTGTTTTCTTGTCTTGTTAAAGTATGTTTTAATCGATTAGAAATCAATGGATATTTTAATAACGATCGAAACATAATAAAATCGAATTTAATTATATCTATAGATAAATAAAATGTTACGTCATAAGTAAACAAAAGGAATTATCAAGGGATAGACTTCGAACTCAATTCCCCACAATTTTATAATTAGTCTAATTAAACGAATACGATATATTTTAGTCTTATATTTATATCAACAAAAAAAGCAAATATACGATTAGAAAAAAATTATTGAAGAAAACGAATTAATTTAATAAGATGATGAGGAAATTATAGGAGGAAATAGTAGGCAATTTATAAGTCTCCAAAGAATTACTACAGTTCTATTTTTCACGTTAGACTATCAAAAAAAAAATTCTAGTAAACAAAAATCTTTCTTCTATTTATGAATTAATATTCTTAAAACATACAAAAAAAAATTTTGTATATTTATTAAATCTGTACTTACTATGACATAAGCTCAATTGTAAATCTTACAGTGTATTAATAACGCATGAAAATATTAAGAGCATATATATTTACTATTCTTACTTTGATAGAATATGTTTAAATAGGTGACGATAATAATAATATATGTTCTTTTTTATGTTTAATTTTGTTACTCAATTCATCATATAATTGAATATCAAAATTAAACATAAAAAAGAACATATATTATTACTATCGTCACCTATTTAAATATATTCTATCAAAGTAAGAATAGTAAATATATATGCTCTTAATATTTTCATGCGTTATTAATACACTGTAAGATTTACAATTGAGCTTATGTCATAGTAAGTACAGATTTAATAAATATACAAAATTTTTTTTGTATGTTTTAAGAATATTAATTCATAAATAAAAGAAAGATTTTTGTTTACTAGAATTTTTTTGATAGTCTAACGTGAAAAATAGAACTGTAGTAATTCTTTAGAGACTTATAAATTGCCTACTATTTCCTCCTATAATTTCCTCATCATCTTATTAAATTAATTCATTTTCTTCAATAATTTTTTTCTAATCATACATTTGCTTTTTTTTTGTTGATATGAATATAAGACTAAAATATATCGTATTCGTTTAATTAGACTAATTATAAAATTGTGGGGAATTGAGTTCGAAGTCTATCCCTTGATAATTCCTTTTGTTTACTTATGACGTAACATTTTATTTATCTATAGATATAATTAAATTCGATTTTATTTATTATGTTTCGATCATTATTAAAATTTCCATTGTTTTCTTGTCTTGTTAAAGTATGTTTTAATCGATTAGAAATCAATGGATATTTTAATAATGATCGAAACATAATAAATAAAATCGAATTTAATTATATCTATAGATAAATAAAATGTTACGTCATAAGTAAACAAAAGGAATTATCAAGGGATAGACTTCGAACTCAATTCCCCACAATTTTATAATTAGTCTAATTAAACGAATACGATATATTTTAGTCTTATATTCATATCAACAAAAAAAAAGCAAATGTATGATTAGAAAAAAATTATTGAAGAAAATGAATTAATTTAATAAGATGATGAGGAAATTATAGGAGGAAATAGTAGGCAATTTATAAGTCTCTAAAGAATTACTACAGTTCTATTTTTCACGTTAGACTATCAAAAAAATTCTAGTAAACAAAAATCTTTCTTTTATTTATGAATTAATATTCTTAAAACATACAAAAAAAATTTTGTATATTTATTAAATCTGTACTTACTATGACATAAGCTCAATTGTAAATCTTACAGTGTATTAATAACGCATGAAAATATTAAGAGCATATATATTTACTATTCTTACTTTGATAGAATATATTTAAATAGGTGACGATAGTAATAATATATGTTCTTTTTTATGTTTAATTTTGATATTCAATTATATGATGAATTGAGTAACAAAATTAAACATAAAAAAGAACATATATTATTATTATCGTCACCTATTTAAACATATTCTATCAAAGTAAGAATAGTAAATATATATGCTCTTAATATTTTCATGCGTTATTAATACACTGTAAGATTTACAATTGAGCTTATGTCATAGTAAGTACAGATTTAATAAATATACAAAATTTTTTTTTGTATGTTTTAAGAATATTAATTCATAAATAGAAGAAAGATTTTTGTTTACTAGAATTTTTTTTTGATAGTCTAACGTGAAAAATAGAACTGTAGTAATTCTTTGGAGACTTATAAATTGCCTACTATTTCCTCCTATAATTTCCTCATCATCTTATTAAATTAATTCGTTTTCTTCAATAATTTTTTTCTAATCGTATATTTGCTTTTTTTGTTGATATAAATATAAGACTAAAATATATCGTATTCGTTTAATTAGACTAATTATAAAATTGTGGGGAATTGAGTTCGAAGTCTATCCCTTGATAATTCCTTTTGTTTACTTATGACGTAACATTTTATTTATCTATAGATATAATTAAATTCGATTTTATTATGTTTCGATCGTTATTAAAATATCCATTGATTTCTAATCGATTAAAACATACTTTAACAAGACAAGAAAACAATGGAAAAAAGAAAGTTATTGTACTAGGTGCTGGATGGTAAGTCTTCTTCTTGATTATAATTATAAAAATTCCTTATGAATTCACTAGGGGTGGATTTCAATTTGTTCGATATTTAAATCGAAAAAAATACGATGTTACATTGGTAAGTATTTATAAATAGAATAGTTTAAAAGAAGATCTAGGAAAAAAAATATTTTATGTTAGATAATATAGTTTAAGGCAAGGTCTTTTTTTTTATTCGACTTGAAGAAAAAAAAAATTCTCACACTAATGAACAAATGTTTTCTTCATGAATGATTTCACTCGGAAATTTTATTCTTCCTTTCTTTTTATATCAAAAAGAAAAAGAAACATAAAAGGTTGATTAATCCCGTGTAAAGATGTTGTATTTATCTTTTAGGTTTCACCACGTAATCATTTCCTTTTTACTCCACTTCTACCATCAACAACTGTTGGTACATTAGAATTTCGTTGTATTATTGAACCTGTTCGTACACTTTCAAATTTACATTATTATCAAGCACATTGTGATGAAATAAATTCGAAAACAAATCAAATACATTGTCGAGATTTTTTTAATACAAATAAAGAATTTACACTTGATTTTGATTATCTGATTTGTTGTCATGGAGCGAAATCGAATACATTTAGTGTACCTGGTGTTGAACAACATGCATTCTTTCTTAAACAATTATCTGATGCACGT